GTGATGGCGGCAACGGCAAGCAGAGGTGGCAGCGGTTAGGGCGAGAGTCTGCGGCGGCGGTACAAATCTGTAGAATGTGTTGAAGAAGGCAACAAATTGGAATGTGTATATGGTTGACTGTACTGATAATTGTGGTGGTGGAAGTGTAGAGGGCTTGAGTTGGTGGTGGTGGCGGCGTGGTGGCAATCGGTGGTGGAGTGGCGTCTGGTCAGAACGTACAGATGGCGGTGGCGCGACTTGCGGGTTGTTACTATATCACCAGTTTGTGGGTGAGGTGATGTACGCGGTGGCTTTTGGTTGCTAGGGCTTTGGTTGGTGGTGGAGTGGACGGTTTAGACAGAGATGCGTGTGGGTTGCTGTCACGAGGTTGAAGACGGGTTGAGTGTGGTGAATGGGCTAGGTTGAGTTGGGTGAAGTGGTAATGAGATTGGGTAGTTGGGCCTAGTGAATTTGTAGATCTTGGGTATGATGTTAGGTTGTAGGTTAAATGGGTACGTGTGGGTTTAGAGATCTTTGTAGGAATTTGGGTTGGTAATTGACTAAATGAATTTGGTGGAATTTTGGCTGCTTGCAAGTAGGGTTAGAAATTTATGGAACATCACTTTTCATCTAGTGGCAGCATCAGCCAACGAATTATTTTTTATTTTGAAACTTCAGAAAAATCTAAAAAATTGAAATTCCAGGTATGAAAAGTACCCGTGAACAGTAACTTTTTTTTTTTTTGGAAACCAAGAAAGAAAACTGAAAGAATGAAAACTGGTGCTCTTACTCTAAATCGTTTTAAATTGTGTTATTCCAACAAATTTTGGGAAGAAAATAGGAAGAGATTTTGGATTGTAGGAGAGAAAGTACCATAGATTCGGCTCTGATACCAATTTAATACGGTACCAATAAAATACACAATGGAAGATAATAAAATCTATCGACGGGAAGAAGAAATCAGGGGAAGGGATAACAGAAGGGAGAAACAGTAGAAGAAGGAGAAGAATAATGGAAAAGAGAGGAGAAATTCGTCACAAGCCACCAATAATTTTATTCAATCATCAACTAATGAAATTACATAGTAAAGTAAGTTTAAATAGTAAAAACCAAAACCCTAACTAAAATAGGCTTGGCCAATATAAACCCAATAAAAATCCAAAACAAAATAAAATCCTCAAAACAAAATAAGTTCGAACTAAAAATAAATAAAATAAGTAAAGAGACCGGATGTCCTCATCAATCTCCCTTTTACATCTATCTTGGAAGGTGAAATAGAGATGCTTCACCAGTGACCTATGTGTTGGCAATTATTGTTCATGCATATCCTGGGACTAATTGGCTTTAAATCACTGTCAGTGGTGCTGTTCATTTCATGGCTTCAAATAATGATTGTGGAGTACGAGACTTTGATACGGAGAGATTTCAGCTTATCAGGCACTTTGCTTGTCCTTGGCCTGCAAATGTAAGTTCAGTTTCTTTTCACTTATGAATATACCTGAATTTGATGTACTTAATAGGAATTAACTGATATTTTCTTGGAAGTACAAGGTAACAAGAAATCAACAAACTGCATACAAATGTGTTTTTATTTATTTATAGTTTGTGCTGCATTATTTCTACGTCACTTAAAATTGTATATCTGCAGACATACTTAAAACTGTATCACCCCCGCGGTAATCTTAACTCACACATAAAAATGGGCGGACACATTTACCGATAGAATAATTGGCACTGCCGTTGTTTATTGGTGGCAATAGGTGCTTTATGCTACTCTTGGATATAGATACCTCTTTTTTGTCCTAAATTCTGAAATTGTTTAGTTCCAACAGATAAATTTTATGAATTCAAATATTGAGTTGATATTTTGTCTACATCCGCCAATCTGTAATTGGATGGTCTTAAAGTTGCAACATTGGTTTTTATCAAAGGAGAAATATGGTAATAAATGTAGTCAAGTTGAATTTATTATCTAGACATATAACGGGAGGATGTTAACTGCTTGCAGAAAGCTAGCATGAGTGAGATTTGAAGTTGAAACGATAGAAAGAAGATCTTGATAAGTTCTCTGTTTGGTATTGATGATAAGTAAGATCAATTAATGCAACGCTATGTGTACATAACCTAAAGAACATGAGACTGATGGTCAGAAAATAGAGCCATAATACTGTTCTGACTTTGGGAAAGATCAATTAATTTGCTGCTGTTGATGGTATCGTTGTAACTTTCTAGTGTGTGAATGTTGTGCAAGCTGATCTTCTGCAGCTGCCACAATTGAACCTCATAGTTTAGTGCTGTTATTTTTATTTTTTTCCAGAGAGGAGGGTGTACTTTTGGAGGTTGGTTTCTTTGGATATACATGGATTGAAATTTTAAGTGGTTATCTGCCTGTTCATATCAATATTTCATAGAAGTTCAGAGGTTTAGACATCATGGAAGAATAACATCTCAGTGCTCTTTATAAAGCAACCGCCAGGTAGTTTCATGAGGATGAGGTTTGGGAATGTGTTCTCTTTCTATGATAATTTTATTCATAACTAGCAACCACCAGCTCTTGTGTATGATGGTCAGTTTTGGGGCTGCAAAGCAAAGATTGAGCCCACTACAGGTTATAGAGTTGATAGCTTGGAGATGATTAATGAGACTCGGGCTTATTTTGTTTTGATGTGAAATTATGTATGCCTTATATAATACACCCAATGGCATATTTTCCTGAAAATTTAAAGTGATAAGCTTTATATTGGAAATAATTGATTAGCTTTGTATTTAACTTTTCCCTTACGTTTTAAACGGTATGGCAATCGTTCTTTCTGTGTATCATAGTCCAGATTTACTTTTTCCCATTTATAAGTATATAATGATACAGCATTCTGTGTGTCTATGCTGCATGTCCATTTCAAAGAGTAACCATCATGCTCTGTTTGTTTACAGCATACCTCACTGAGTCCAGATGGCAAAGCTATCGTTATTGTTGGAGACGATGGTGCACCGACACGGACACGTGTGTCCGACACGATACTTGTCAGATACATTGACTCGTGATTTCTCAAAAAGTACCGACACGACAAGTCGTCGACACGTTCATTAAATTCTTTAAAATTCTTCATTTATATAATTTAAATTTAGTTTTATACTTATTATTGATTTTTTTTTTAAGTCTTTTAAATATGAGTACTTATTTGTTATTTACTAATAATTTTGAGTTAAAAATATATAATAGCTATAGTAAGAAAGAAAAATAATTATTGTACAGTGTCCGAAGAGTGTCGGTATCAACACGTGTCCGACATGAACACGCTACCCTAGTTAGAGTATCCATGCTACATAGGTTGGAGACAACCCTGACGGAATGCTGGTGGATTCTCAAACTGGGAAGGTAGTATCCCCGATGTTCCATTTCTGAAACTAATTGAACTGTGGAAAGATCTGATATATAATTCCGGATTAAGTGGCTAATGGACTAGGAAATTTCTCACTTATCGACTCTTTTTTGACGGTAGACTGTCACGCATCTACGTGGACACTTGGATTTCTCTTTTGCTTCTGCATGGCATCCAAATAGTCACATCTTTGCCACTGGAAACCAGGACAAGACTTGCCATATATGGGATGCTCGAAACCTGTCAAAGCCAGTTGATGTACTTAAAAGAAATCTAGGTGCTATTTCGATCAATCCGTTTCACATCTGATGGGCAATTCATGGTGATGGCTGAGCCAGCTGATTTTGTTCATGTTTATGATGTGAAGAAAGGTTTTGAGAAAGAATAAGAGATTGATTTTTTTGGCGAGATCTCTGAGCTTTCTTTCAGCCCTGATGCAGATTCTCTCTTCATTGGAGTGTGGGATCGCACTTATGGTAGCCTTTTTCAGTACAGCCGATGCAGGAACTACTCATATCTAGACACTCTAACGTGAATACCATTTGATTTACACACATTGTTGGAGCAAAACTTTCTTGTAGAATGACACAGGTAACATATCTCGTATTACATTCTCAAGAAAGGAGCCTGAGAGTGGCACACTTGCAAAACTTTGTTGTCAGATCGACTGTCGTGCCCTCAAATAATGCCCACTGGTGTTCCATATAAGTGAATATGTGAAGCTTGGATTGCATCTTGTTGCAGCCACAAATGAAATTTTCATCTCAGCACAAGGCAGATTTCGTTCGTGGAAATGTCACCATGTTGATGAAAATTGATGTTTATATGGAATTTTCTACTGTATCAATAACTTTTCTGGAGTTGAGTGGGAATTGAACGTCTGCCATTAATTCAAATAAAAGTGTTTTTGGTTTGGAAGAAACTATACATTTGGTGGTTTTAGCAAGTTGAAGAAATTATATAAGAGATGATTGAAAGTTGTTTATCTGTAAATTGCTGAAATATAATAGGTTGGTCTTTATTTTTATTGATTGATCGGTTGTTATTACGGTTTTCCTCTGCCTTAAGTGAGGGTTGGTATGAAAAAATGCCTGTTGGGCTTTACAAAAAAAAAAAAAAAAAAAAAAAATTGTGTTTGCTTGTTGACTCTTGCTGGCTAAAATTTGAAATGTTCTGCTCATGATCTGTAGAAATCTTGCATTAGCCTAATGTGCTGACAATCGTGGCTGAGCTTGCAAATGCCCATTTTGGTCAAAATCAGGCACGTTTTGAATATTTTAGAAGGGGATTGGAGATTTTGTTCTGAATTGTAGGTATATTTGTCACTGGAGAAGAATTTTGAGTAGATTTTTGCACTAAAATGATTCGGAGACCAAGTTTTCAATTCTTAAGCGTGATTAACATAAGAATAATACCAATCTTTCCACTGGAAATTTGATGCAGCACAATCAGACAACCAGTGCATTGATTGATGTATCCCTATCAGTAATTATCTAGAAAAGGATGGGATTCTATATACGGAAAAAAAACTCCCAATGGTCGTCATGTAGCCTGGATCATCTGCTGGCATCACCCCTGGAAGCTTCGTGTACTTGCAAATTTTTTGAAGAAATGAGAGACGCTATTTTCTTCTCTACTTTTTCAAAATTCAGTGTTGCAGTCTTCCTGTATATGGTTCTCCATCTCTTTATTAGCATGCAGATACCCATTAAAATAGCTTAAAATGCTTTCTTCTTCTGCTTCTAGCTGCTGCAAGCACTCTTCAAAAGCAGCCACCACTTCTGGACTAAATACCGAACGATTCCCATCTTCTTCCCTTCTCACAGGATTTACCTTATTATAGCAGCCAAATTTTGGAGTAACATATGTTCCGGGAGAATATACTTGCCCCTCTACATAAAGCCATTGCCCAAGCCTTGTAATGGCTGGAAACTCGACTGGTGACATATCAAGTGATTTGAGCCCCTGTCCAACAGCCTTCCTTTTCCAACCTGTCTCGCACACAGCTCCTTCTTGAACATAATTCTTGTCTGATTTTTCCGTTGAATTTGAACTGGAACTCTTGTGCTCTGAAGGTCCTTCAATAGGGTCAAATTTGTTCTTCGGAAAATCTTCAGCATTTCTATGAATGTTGCCATCATTACAATCTTCATCCATAGGTTTCGATATTTGTACATTCTCATTCAGTGATGACTCATTTTCTCGAAAGGATTCTCTACCGCTTGTGCTGGATATATAAGCTCTCTTTAGCAAGGAATCATATTCCTCGACCGTGTGAAAGCTTCTAGAGCCTCTGGTATTCTTATCTCTCCAATCAAATTTATTTTCACTAAGCCCCTCAATCTGAGGATCTTGTATGGGAAATTCCTTATCCGGTATTATCTGACAGCTTTTCGACCTTGACAATCTCCCAAAATCTTTAGTTCCTACCGCATCGCGGGGCTGTAAGGAGCTTTCTCCGTCTTCTTTTCCTTTGGCAATCTCAGCAGTCACAACAGCTATGCTGGGATCTCTGTCTGTAAGTTCATTGGCAGTCTGAGCAGAATAAAGAAAGGCAAGAAACTGTTCACTGGCATTGTTGGAAGTTAACAATTCTTCCCACATAGGAATGGCTTTGGATGTTCTTTGGAAGCCACGATTCAACTCTTCTTGGAAGCTTAATGATCGAGTAACTGCTTCTGCTTTCGAAGGTATGCATCCCATTTTATGACTGCCTAACCTTGTATTAGAATGGAATTGAGCAGAACCTCAATAGTACTGCAGTTTCTGTATTGAAGACCACGGAAAAGGAGACAAAAGGGTGAAATCAAAATCTGGTGGTATAAATCCCCATAAGTTACATATTTGTTAGCTAACTTTGCACCTTATTGTTTGAATTTAGCTAGTGGTATTAGTTGAACAACTTAAGTGTTGTTTTTTGGACTGTATTTTGAAATTTTGGTGTCTCAAGCCATTTTCAGCGCTGCACCAAATTTTACACCATTTTGCACCAAATCTTACACCAAACTAAAATTCATTTTCAACCATTACACCAAAATTTACACCAAATGAACAGTTTTTAACCATTTTCTTTCCTCTTTTCATTATTTATAATTTATTTAGTTGACATATTATTTATTTAATTATTTTATAAATACATAAATTATTAAATAAATAATTACATTAAATTATGAAAAAGAGTAAATTCATTAATAAATATAAAAAATCGTATGTATTACGTTAAATAATTTCTTTATGTATGTCGTTGTTTAATTTCTTTATGTATTACGAAATAATTACGTTAAATAATTTCTTTTTTGTGTATCGTTTTGTTTAAATAAAATTAGATTATCATATGTATGTCGTCGTTTAATATATTTCGTGTTAACTTTAATAAATAATCGTGTTTGTTATATTTTAATTTTTTTCTTCTTTTAATTAATTTATTAATTATTATTTCTTACATTTAAAATTTATTTTAAGTACAAATAATAATAATATATTGTATTAAAAAATATATAATACAAATGACACAAATACCCTTAATAAATTTATTTGGGAAAGGATAAAAAAGGGCAAAAGAGATTTTATACACTTTGCACCAAAATGATGCAAAGTTTAATGTTACATTGGAGCAACTTTACACCAAAAAATGGTGCAATTTGGTGCAATGGTGTTAGCATTGGAGTTGCCCTCAACGATACCTTTCACCTTTAAACTTTTAAAGCACCCTGAAACATATAAAGACCAGACCGCGAGGAATAGGGAGACAAGATTAGTATATAATTGTTTTAAAATTTAGCAGAAAGCAAAACTTACATTTTTGTTAATGATTATTCCATTTTTGCACGGTGCTCTATGCACGTGCCAATCCATATAACTTTTTCCTTTTTTTTTTTTAAATGATGAATTTAACAACTCCATCTTCACTCAAATTAACTAAAAAAATTTCTTTTCATTTTTTCCTGGTAGAAAATGAGAGGGACAGGGCTAGACTATAATACCAAAAAAGAATTTCTTGATATATTTAGCGTAGGCGACAGATTCTTTATTCTTATTTGGTCGGGTTTATTGCTAGATCTACTAGACTACAAGTTAACAGAGTTACCTATCCTCTAGCATACCTGTTATTGTAAATGTTTGAAATGGAAATCGTTGGCGGGAATAGGGGAAGGGGTCAGACTTTATCCTGACAGAAGCAAGTGTAATAAGGATTTTTCTAGTTGTACATTAGGTTTGACCGACCCCCTCACAAGAGGGGGGCCCACGCCAAATAAAAAAATCGTGGGCCCCCCCCCTTGTGAGGGGGTCGGTACACCGGGGTGTCAAACCCGGTGTACATGCAGAAGAACCCGTGTAACAATACAGTTTATGATGCTACGGCAGCAGGTATATAATAGGGCAGATATATGGATGCAGCAGACACCAGTGGAGACAGTTCCTTGTTATCTTCTGCTTGAAAGAGAGTGGTCAAGATCTCAAAATGGTTGCATAGCTTTTCCTTTACTTCTTTAATAATGTCGAGTATAACATGGTCCTACGTACTTGTGAGCACAGAGATTGAGTTCTTAGCGTTTTCCAGTGAGAATAGGCAGGTAGTCACAATAAAGGCTGTGGGGACTAGTTAAAGATATCAAGCTTGATTTTGTAAAGTTTTCGACTTTTGAGATTAAGACATAGTTTGAGTCACATTCTTTGAAAAAAAAAAATTCTTAAACGGTATTTTGACATCATTTCAATCACACATTCTTCAATAAATAATATTACACTCAAATTCTATGCTTTTCATTATTTTTTAACTACATATTTCACATCAATACACTATTCAAAAATGCATTTTCATGACAAAATGGGGCTCAAACATCGACTGGATAATTTAAAATTTCATTTGATTGTTGAGTGAAATATAATCTAATCTCCCAAACTAATCATGGGATGGCATTTCACTTTTTCATATTACCTGCATACAATGTACTCAACTCATCATAAAAAGAGAAAAAAGAAAACTAAATTTTCGTTTGAGCCACATTAATGTAAGAATGAAAATAAAAAATATAGTCGTTACGGATCTCATACAAGAAATAAAAAGTCAAATATGGTGATTTGATGTGATAAATAAGGATCATATTTTTCATTTTATTGGAGAAATAATGATAAACAAATGGGGGCTAAGTTGATTAGATGTAAATGATGATCCCAAAAGTCAATAATGTTTGGTGGTGCCATAGGGATGAAGCTGACAACCGAAGCAAATAGGGGCCTATGATTCGGTTTGTGTTAAATCTTGTAATTGATAATAATTTGTGACTAATAAGAGTTAGTTGTTCCAATGGGCATTGATCTTAGGTTCATGTTTTCGATTAGTCATTGAAATTTAAAATGTCGAGTTTTGATCACTGAACTTAAGTTCATGAGTTCGATCGCTCAGTGAAATTTAAAATATCGAGTTTTGGGTACTGAAATTTGAAAAATGATATACATTACTCACTGAATTTTGAAAAAATATTGTACATTACTCAACTTTGAAAAAATATTGTACATTATTCACTGAACATTGAAAAATGTTGTACATTGCTCACTATAAACTCGATATTTTTCAAAATTCAACAGTTGTGCTAGTGAGTAACTTACGGCATATTCCAAAGTTCAGTGGCCAAAACTCGACTTTTTAAACTTTACTAAGGAATATAAGATATGGACCTAAATTTAATGAGCAATCGAAAATATTGACATAAGTTCAGTGACCAAAACTCGACATTTTAAACTTTAGTGACCAATCAAAAATATGAACCTAAGTTCAGTGACCATTGGAACAATTAACTCGACTAACAATGGAATAAATACAGCAGTTAAGAATTAGCGTTTGTTGTAAAAAATGGATCCTAAGGCTGTACAAGCCCCATCATGGGACTCAAGTGGCATTGTCAGGTGACCTCGAGTTGAGGTCCTTAAGGAGTGGTTGTGGTCAACTTGTGTTTATTGATTGTGGATAGTAAAACCAAGGATGAACTGGTCTATAGTGAACCGTCAGTCCGGACCCTGGCTCGTAGGCCCAAGTTCGAGGTGGGAGCATCGATAAGGGAGTCAGGGTGTTGATAAAAGGGTGGAGGATCCTCGACGTCAAGCCTCAAGCTCATGGAGCCCCAAGTTCAAGTTCAGAAATAATCAATTTGGATTTTGCTGCTTGTAAATTAACTTTTATCACTTTGTTGATAGAAAAATTATTGAATGAAAAGACACTGTCAAATGATAGAATGACACATGATGTAAAAAATGATGTCAAACAAAATGTACACTATATTTGACTGAATCAAATTTTGACCTTGTCAGCTTATTTAGAACGACTTTTTACATATATTGTGTATATAAATTAAAAAGACAGAAAACATTCTCATTTTAGTAGTTATACTAAAATTATTTGTTTATAAAAGCATGCAACCATTATTCCACTAAATTAATCGGGTAAAGTAAGTAAGTAACAGTTAAAAACAAACTTAGAGAAATGTAAGCAAATGAAATACTGAAGTATTTTATCAAGGAAAGAGATGAACTATTTTTCATTAGGACAATAAGAATGGTTTCTGGCACATTGCAACTATTATTTATAATAGTAACACTTCAAATTATGAGAATCATGAACTAGACAACAATTTATACAATCTTTGAAATGAAACTGGACTTCTACAATTGCAAGGGCTGAATGTGATTAGGTGAAAGTGAAGTGACGAAATCTAAAAAATATTAGGAATATGGTTACAATAATTAAATTTTTTTTGAAAAGACACAATTCTTAGAGAGGATATTTTTAGGGGAATTTTCAAAAATATCACAAAATTAACAAGGTCTCAAAAAGTTGTCATTTTCACTTTATGTGAGCAAAAATGACATTTTTTTGTGTGAAATGTCCAAATTACTCTTAATGACACATTTTCATTAGCATTTAATGCTTGATTTGAAGAAGTTGATTGTGTTGATGTGATGATTTATTTTATATATAAAAAATATGGATAAATGTGTATTATATTGATTAATATGAATTTGTGTTAATAAAAAAGGGTAAAAGAAATTAAAAAATGAAACATAAACAAATATATCCCCGTTTGAGCCACATTAATGTAAGAATGAATGTATAGTCGTTATGGGCCTCATATAAAAGATAAAAAGTCAAATAAGGTGGCTTGATGTGATAAATAATAGTCATATTTTTCATTTTAATGGGCAAATAATGGGAAACAAACGGGAGCTAAGTTGATTAGATGTAAATGATGATCCCAAAAGTCAATAATGTTTGGTGGTGCCATAGGGTTGAAGCTGACAACCGAAGCAAAGAGGGGCCTATGATTCGGTTTTTGTTAAATCTTGTAATTGATAATAATTTGTGACTGACAAGAGTTAATTGTTCCAATGGACATTAAACTTAGGTTCATGTCTTCGATTAGTCATTGAAATTTAAAATGTCGAGTTTTGGTCACTGAACTTAAATTCATGACTTCGATTGCTCAGTGAAATTTAAAATATCGAGTTTTACCACTAAATTTTGAAAAATGATGTACATTACGCACTAAACTTTGAAAAAATATTGTACTTTACTCTAGAATATGGAGTGAAATAATTTTCAATAATACTATAGTAATCTATAGTGAACCGACGGTTAGCCTTAGTAATCCTCTCTTGAAAAAAATATTGATTATGTCTCTTCAATGACAAGGCCAATCTGGCATTTTTCATTTAGCTCAATACTAATGACCAAACTTAATGTGCTGTGCTGAAGAATCTGTTTCGCCCATTGTCGTCTGCTTCTCGACATTTTCGATGGTTCAACTGTCGATTTTAACATTTACAAACTGTCGGTTTAGACGTTAGAAATGTCGAACCCAACATTTACAAACTATCGGAATATACAGTTTTACTGTCAAATTGAACACTTAAAAACGATGGAAAACCTTGATTTGACATTTTGCTATTTTACGAATTTACGTATTACGCAGTGCCACTTTCATGCTATTAAATGCCGACATATTGATTCTGCAGAATTCTTATCGTTACAATCCCAACATTTCAGGTACGAGTAATCATTTGAGATTCATCGTGTCCCATAGGGGGAAAGTTTGTTCATGTGGATGACGAATAGAAGTGGAGAGGGGATAAAACTACTTCCATTTTGGTTCTGACAAGTAATATCGTAGTCGGACTTTTGTTAATATTGAAAGACAAACTTGATATTCTTGATCCCTGAGCTCAAATTGAATTGAAGTTCAAGATCTTTAACTTGAATATACCTCCAGCCGAAATACGCAACGACGAAGACTTATTTTCATCACATCTCAAATTGAATTTGAAAGACAATTAGTGTGATACTTTTAAAGTCTAAGCGTGCTTGTATCACCCACACTTGGTCTATCATTTATGAAAATTGTGTAAATTAAACCATGTGTACCATTTCATCTTGATTGAAGCATGGTACGCACAACATTTTAATGCAAACAAAAAAGTGCTCGTTATGTTTTGCAAGAAAATGATATCCAGTGATGTCATCATGATTCATGAACATTTTCGATTGAAACAAATCATAATATTCATTTCAATCGTGCTTATTTTAAGTTGGGTACCAGTTTTAATTGATAAATCGAATGAGTTCCGAAAGCAAGAAAGTTATAAAATGCACCAAAAATCACTTTTATGTGCACAGCCTTACTCAAGTACCGAACATTATGTGACCATTGTTTTGTATTGTGGAGTAGCTCCATGACCCTATTTAAAAAATAATCTACTACTCTTTATTACATACTATTCCTTATTATAAACATTTTCTATACGAAACACAAACAGTTTCCTCTGTCAATATCTCACAAATAGAACCAACGAACACAAAATTATATACATAAATAGAAAACAAAATGTTCTTCCATGCATACAGTCATCAGAAGTGGACCATTGTGAAGGTTGCTCTTTCTTTGACAAAGAAATCGATTGGTTCCACCTCCAATTACAACAAGAATGTGTGCAACAACACTTTGATGATCGTTCAGGTCTTAAGTATGAATCTGCTCATATGTCATCATGCATTGGTAAAATTAATATTTCAAGATAAAGCATGCAAAAAGCAAGGTGAAGAAATGCAATAACATTCACCTTATGTGCAAAAACAATCTGATCACAGTACATAATATAACTCAATTGATTCATGTAATCCATCGTAATCCGAATTCATCCATATTTTTTAAACAAGTAACTTCCACAAAAATATATTTGAATTGCATGTAATCCAAAAATTATGAAGAATGAACCGTGACGGTGGTGGCATCGTTATACAAACAAAAACGTGAAGCACAAAAATATAATCACATATGGACAAATCAGTCACACATGAGATGTTCGGGTGGAAAAAAATATAACCACATACGGACAAATCAATTAAAAAATCGTGATATCATAGCATTTCATAATGTCTTTGGAAAAATTGATAGCCTCTGCAATTTCCTCATATTTCTATATGTTTGAAACGAGGGCTGGTAACTAGTTGAGAATGAGGCCCTCCCCCGACCCCACACCACCCCACCCCACTCCCAAAATTCCCCAATTTTCCCATTCTTTTTTTCTATTTAGTTATGTATTTTAATTTTAATATTTATTTATTTTAAAAATATGACAAATTTTAAAACGTAAAAAAAAATAAAATATAATAATCATAGCAAGGTAGGGGCAAGACATTTCTGCTATTTATACTTCAAATAGACATCTAGAACAATCATGCTATGTTGCTTGAATTTTTTTGAAATAATGGCTGACTGGGAGGTGGCCCACTTCTTTTTTGGACTTTTTATTCATGCGGGATCCACGTAGATGTGAAAGAATGTCAACAATTATGTCAAAAAAATTTGGAAAAAGTAATTTAATTCCATATAGAGAGATGCGAACACATCGTGTCTCGCTAATAAATTCTATATTTATTTCTCTAGAAAGACGCATGGTCACAAATGGACAATTATGGTAGTGAGGTGGGGTGGTGATTCATCTTGAACCGACATGTATATCCTCTTCAGTCCCAACCCAAAGTTTTATACTTCATGTCTTTGTCTCTAGCCTTTTACTAGATAGGAAACAACTTCATACATGTGTACTTATGTACCTGCTACACAAAATTAAGTGCTTGTTTGGTAGAAATTTTAAATCAATTAAAATCAATTTTTTTTATCGTTATTTTACTATTTCAACCATCATTTTTTAATTCTTCTCTCACAGATAGGACTCACTTTATTTTTAACAATCAAAAAGTCAATTATCAAAATTCCTATCAAACAAGCACTAAAATTATAGGATACATTTTTTATTCCAACGAAGTGGAAGTTACATACTGATCTTGCAAGGTAATTTTACACAATCACATGTACATTTATACATCAATAATCATATAAACATATTAAGCACACAACATTCGACTTATATGTAAGATCCAAGCAAAGGGGCTGTTCGCTAATGACAGCCTCCAGCTGCAAATCCAATTCTTGAATTGGAAAGGTCATAAACAACTTCAATTGTCTGTTGTTGTTGGTTGCCTATAATGGCGATTTCGCTCTGCTCAGAGTTGCTTGCAAATGCCAAACACGTCGTACCTTTTTCGACTTCTAAAATAACATTATGTGGTGTAAGATCAAGATTAGCACCACCTTGAAAGATCAACTGAACCTTAGGAACAATTTTCATTATCTCATCAGAAGTCCCTTTGAAACAGGCGTCGAGTATTGAATACGCTACTGTAACCCGATACTTGGATGAGATGATCCGAACCAACTCATGTCTAAGGGCCTTGTATACTGATGTGGTTAAGCGCGATATGGTTGTACCCGAGTCTATGATTGTAGGGACACTGTAGGCAGATGCTGCCACGCCCAGTGTCCTTCCGGCCACTGATATGGCTGAGAGCTTTAGAAAGTACAAGGTAGGATCCCGAGGTTCAGACAACATTGGAGTGAACTTGTACGAAGATGTAGAAGTTTTTCCAATGGAAAGAAAACCTCCACTGCCAAATTTTCCCAGGAGTGAATTTGTTGGGAGACAATAAGAGAATACGTTACCGTACTTGGTAGACAACTGGGAAAACAAAGATAGTTTGTTCCGCGCTAGGCCAAACAGACCGGCTGATCTTCCAAATAGGCCTTCATTGTCTTGTCCACACCCGAACACGAAATTAGGCAGAACCTGTCCCCTGCCTAGGCTCAATGAATCTTGACTAAGGTATCCGATAGAAGTGGACATGTCCCCATAAGTAGTTACATATATGCACACGTTTGAAGAAGTGCAGCTGGGATTGTTGAGAGTGGCTACTTCCAGGGCAGAGCACTGTGTCGTGTCACATGATAGTTGCTGATAAGTTCTTGAAGAAGATGGATTGAAATAGGATCCGATTTGTGGGTGGCAATAAACTTTACAGGGCTCGCACTGGATCCACGAGAAGGAGCTCCCTGTGTCGACGACCACAGGATAGTATGTTGGTGGAGTTCCTAGGCCTACTTTGGTATAGTAACTTGCAATACCAAGTGGCACACCAGGATTTAGAGGAACATCAACAGATTTTGGATAGATCAAGCGTGATGATCCTCTACTTTCAACAATATGATGAGCCGCTGTCGAGTTTTTCTTTGCGAGTCTAGAATTTAGGAACATGACACGAGTCCTGTCCAAAGAAAGTGCCTCAGAAAAGGGCGGGGAAGTCTCGGAAGTCAGGTCTGATTCATGCCTTCCTCTACCATGATACAAAGGCAGGTGTAGAACTGGGTTTTTAAGCTGATCAGCTTCTACAAAACAAGAAGTAACCAATAAGATTGAAGAACGACGAAGCGTTTGCAGCAAGAAACCTTTCAGTGTGAGCTTTGTGTATATTCATATGATCAAGATTCAAGCGTGAAGTTAAATTGTAATAGGTAAAAGCATAAACAGACCTTCAATTAATCGAACTGACGTCGTTCTTGCAAGCAAGAGACTGACAAGCAGAGAGAAAATCAACCTCATTTCCTCAAAACTCCTTAAAAATGCTGTCCGGTGATTCAAGCTTGCTCAAACAGTGGGAATTTATATCAAATATTGGTGGTCAGCTGATAATTTGGCTAAGGCAGAGAGAACGTTTCAAATCGACTTCTGGGGTTCTCATTACAGTTACAGCATTGACGGACCTGCTTTGTTGAGATATCTATTTTGCTTGTAATTCAGGGACCCATTTTCTTGTCTCTGGAAAAGATTCACATGTTTAAGTCACAACAGGGTCATTTGACTCATTTCTGCAATAATGTAATTAACCCGGTAACACACACACACACACACAGGGGCTTATAATTGAGGCACAGTCGTATCTTTTACAAATTTCGGCTGGTGAGACTGACCCACATATTTCAATTATTATGATTGGAAGTTTCGATTTGGTTCGACTCTTGTCAATAATGCTTTGACAACCTGTTTTTGATAAGGTTCCAGTTGTAGTTTGTGTTGAGAATTTATTTAAACATGCACAGCGAAAATAAAAATTATTTCAATTCTCACAAGGATTCATCTTTATATTTAGATAAGAATTGTGATGATAATTATACATTTTCTTGAATTTGTAAACTTCTTTACATTATTTTTGTTCCAACAACTTAAATATGTCTCCCACAGCTGTCCAAATATCTAGCCTCCAATGAATTCCACACAGATAATAAATTGCAACTGCTAGGATTTCTCCTCTTGTGCTAGCAAGAATTATGAAAATTCTAGGGATCTAAAACCCTAGCCATGTATTTATATAAGCCCAAACGGGTTTGGCCCGGTTCGGTCCAATATTTAATTAATCCATTTAGTTAAATCCGGTCCGTGAATTAATTAATCCAATTAATTAATTTGGGGCCATAAATAACCAATCTAATTAATTAATTTATCCAACAATTGTTAAATTAATTAATTGGCAAATTGCAATCTTCCAATTCTCTTTTATGTGCGACCCATCAGGTTCCCGACTACGATGCCTAAAAACGTGAAATAATATTTTAATCTAATCAAAACTGGTAAATTAAACACCATTTTAATTTATCACAAATTCACACTCGCCGTCCCAAATTGACATCTAGCAATGTATCAGGGCAATACATGTGACAAAAATGTCACGTGGTATGACAAAACCAAAACTGTTCGTTTACCATGAAACTACAATCCCTTCATCAATATGATCCGATCAATTACGAGATATGGAAGTGTGTCAATCTTAATTATCGATCATGTCTTTCATTCTACTATTAAGTCAATATGAGTCGAAAACTCTTTTTCGACTTATGTGTATACCTTGGCCAAAGATTTCGTTATTGATTTAATTGAACGAAATGCAGATCACAATATTTTACTATCTAAGAGTGACGAATCATATATTGGTCATTCACAACCTTCATATGGTTCTTGACATACCCAAACGATGTCGTATTAGCGGCCCTTAGTAGAGCAACATCCAACACCGTCAAAGCATGACTGTCCTCATACAAGGCACTATGATGACCTCAAGTCATAGGACCAATTCCACTGCCGAACGTTAGAGATTAACCACTGACACTCAGATAGTTATCCATGTGGAATCTCTTAGCGGGTCTCCAATGTTTTGTTCTATAACAAAACATCCACGTGTTCATTTAAGTGTCACCACACTTTAACTTGTGAAATCAGCTACTTACTTCACAAGTAGGAAATGCCACACGTGATAGTCTATCTGTAATAACGATATCCATATCTCGTTATTACTTACGACCACAGATTATTCAAGATTTAATCATACGTAATTTGTTTCTCACAATCACAACTCCTTGTGATTAACAAATCACTTAAACTTGAATTTTCGGACTCTATTATTTAATATTATTTATCAGAAAATTAATTTAAATAAATAATAGATCTTGCCAAAATTAAATACATAAACATATTAAAAGTGTTTACCACATAAATCGGTTGGATTTAGGGCATAACACTTACAAACTCCCACTTGCACTAGATCTAATCACTCATGTATCTAATACCATAAGCATCCACATAATGATCATGTTTCTGTTGTGACAACGGCTTTGTCAATGGATCTACAATATTGTCATCTATGGGAACTCGCTCTATCGTTACGTCATTTCTTTGTATAATCTCCTTGATTAAATGATATCGTCTTAACACATGTTTGGATCGTTGATGAGACCTCGGTTCTTTCGCTTGTGCGATGGCTCCATTGTTATCACAATACAAAGGTATGGGATCAACAATACTAGGAACGACTCCAAGTTCATTAATGAACTTCTTGATCCAGACAGCTTCCTTCGCTGCTTCAGAAGCAGCAATGTACTCAGCTTCTATTGTTGAATCAGCGGTTGTCTCCTGTTTGGAACTTTTCCAACTAACCGTTCTATTGTTGAGAGTAAACATATATCCTGATTGACATTTGCTATCATCTTTGTCAGTTTGAAAGCTGGCATCAGTATACCCATGAATTTTCAATTCATTTCCTCCATAGATCAAGAATACATCTTTAGTCATTCTCAAGTACTTAAAAATGTTCTTAACCGCTATCCAGTGTTTTTCACCAGGGTTTGCTTTAAACCTGATCGTAACACTTAGAGCATATGAAACATCTGGTCTCATACATAGCATTACATACATGATAGATCTTATCGCCAAAACATAAGGAATCTTATCCATGTGATTCCTTTGATCATGTGTTTTAGGACACATATCTTTTAAGAGGTAAATCCCATGTGACATGGGACATAAACCTCTCTTAGACTCTTCCATATTAAATCTTCTCAAGATTTTATCTATGTACGAAGATTGGGATAAGCCTAGTAATCTTTTAGATCTATCTCTATAGATCTTGATTCCCAAGATATACGCTACTTCTCCCATATCTTTTGTGGAAAAAAAATTTAACAACCATAATTTTACCGATTGAAGCATTGAGATGTCGTTTCCCATTAATAATATGTCATCGACTTATAATATTAGGAATACAACCGCGCTCCCACTTGTCTTCTTGTGAACACACGGTTCATCTTCATTTTTAATAAAATCAAACCTTTTGATTGTCTTATCAAAACGAAGATTCCAGCTCCTCGAGGCTTGCTTTAATCCATAAATGGATCGATTTAGCTTACATACTTTGTTGGCTCCTTTGGATTCAAAACCTTCAGGCTGTATCATGTACACCTCCTCTTGTAAGTTTCCATTAAGGAAAGCAGTTTTGACATCCATTTGTCATATCTCATAATCATGGTATGCAGTTATTGTAAGCAAAATTCGAATGGACTTCAGCATGGCTACAGACGAAAAGTTTCATCAAAGTCAACACCTTGTCTTTGTGTGTAACCCTTCACTACTAGCCTTGCTTTGTATGTATGGACGTTTCCATCCACATCGACCTTTTTCTTGTAGACCCATTTACAACCTATCGATTTTATCTCACCTGGAAGGTCGATCAAGGTCCAAACCTTGTTCTCATACATTGAGTTCATTTCGGATTCCATGGCTTCTTATCATCTCTTCAAGTCAATACTTGACTTCACTTCTGCGTAATTTATAGGTTCATCATCCTCGACTAATAATACTTGATTAGTAATCGTGAATTCGTACCTTTTGGGAGGTTGAATAATCCTACTTGATTTATGCTGAGTTGGAGTGTCCTCAGGGTTCTCTACATCCTGATCAAGAGTCCGTTCGTCAACAGGTGTGGGATCAGACTCAGGTTCATCTAATTGGTCAACAGTATCTGTGGATTCTTTAACTTCTTCAAGTTCTATTTTACTCCCACTACCCTCTCCTAGAATAAACTCTTTCTCTAGGAATATGACATGTCTTAAGATGAATACCTTCTTCTCAACGAGATTATATAACTGATATCTAATTGTCTCTTTTGGATATCCCACAAATACGCATTTATCAGATTTAGCCTCAAACTTATCTAATTCATTTCGCTTTACATAAGCGTCATAGTAAAAAACTTTCATGTGAGATAAGTTTGGTCTTTTTCTTCTCCATAGCTCGTATGGAGTTTTGTCGACCAATTTAGATGGGACACGATTAAGTGTGTAGCACGCCGCAATTAGTACATGACCCCAAAATGATTTTGGGATATTTGCATGGCTCATCATTGATCGCACCATGTCTAACAATGTGCGATTCCTCCGTTCAGATACACCATTATATTGCGGTGTATATGGCAGAGTCCACTGTGAGAGAATCTCATTCTCTTTTAGATAATCTAAAAATTCTCCCTTTAAATATTCTCCAACTCGATTTGATCTCAGTGTGAGAATAGTTTTACCAGTTTGTTTCTCTACTTCAAGTTTGAATTCCTTGAACTTTTCAAGTGCTTCATGCTTAAATTTTATCAGATACACATAATCATATTTATAATGATCATCAGTGAATGTGATGAAGTAAGAAAAACCACCTCTGGCGGTGATTGACATGGATCCACATATATCAGTATGTATTAGTCCTAGCAGTTCTGTGGTTCTTTCTCCTTTTCCAGTAAAAAGGAACTTGGTCATTTTGCCTAACAAGCACGACTCGCATTTGTCAAATGATTCAAAATCAGTTGACCCCAAGTATCCATCTTTATGTAATTTGGAAATACGTTTGTCGTTAATATGACCCAATCTGCAATGCCAGAGGTATGTATTATTTAGATTATCACTTTTATGTATTTTACTTTCTATACTCATAATAGATGACTTAGTATCAAGAATGTAAATTTCATTTTTTAACACACCACAACCATAAAAGATCTCATCTTTATAAAACGAACAACGATTATTTTTAACATTAATTGAAAAACCATTCATGTCCAAACACGAAATAGAGATAATGTTTTTAGTAATGACGGGAACAAAATGGCAATTTTTTAATTCTAATACTAAGCCCGAAGGCAGTGGTAAGAAGTATGTCCCTACAGCTAATGCAGCAACTCTTGCTCCATTCCCCACGCGTAGGTCAACTTCTCTTTTCTGTAGTGGTCTACTTTTCTTTAGTCCCTGCATATTTATACAAATATGAGATCCACATCCCGTATCTAATACCCAAGAAGCTAATGAAGTAGACATATTAACCTCGATAACAAAAATACCTGAAGTAGATGCTTCAGAAAATTTCTTTCCCTTCAAGCTAGTGAGGTAAGCTTTGCAGTTCCTCTTCCAATGACCTTTCACTCCACAGTGATAGCATGAGTCATCAGATTTGGTACTGTCCTTGCCTGCTTTGACTGCTTTGTCATTGCCCTTAGCTT